TGTTGAAAAGGGATAAATAAATAGTAGTTTCGCTTGTGGGCTTGCCTAACAGCGGTGTTAGATGCAGTCTCGACCTACTACGGAATTGGGTCGTGAAAGTTCTTGAGCTTGTGCAGTAGCCTAAATGGCCATGAATTCTTCATTAATTATGCTTATTATATCTAACATCGTTTTGTTATTTTTCGATGATGCCAAAAGGGGGAAGATAGAGTTGGGGGTGTTGTGTTGGTGTTGATGTGTCTGTCTGTGCGATGTGTTTGTTGTACAAAGGTTGATAATGATATGGTGATATGAGGTGATTACCCAGTACTAACATACACAAAGTTTGTCATCATCAAAAAGGGAAAATTTGTTGAGTATTGAGATTTTGATGATTAACAAAGTTTGTTCAGATGAATAGATCTAAGAACCAGGTCCTCAACGTAGCTGCTTAACTGCTCTAAGAACCAACTCCTTGACGAGCGCAAAAAACACACTTAAATTGTGCTCACTAGTCAAAGATAGTATAGTATGATATCGTCTCCACAGGGATTGGATTTAAACAATATTCTCGTAGTTTGTAGCTAGATTGCTATCCATGAGGATATACAATGGAGATTTATATAATTAATAATTGAAATTAACTAAGAATCTAAACTAAACTATTGACTAATTACAATCGCAATAAAGGTACGCAAGGAAGTTATCAATGGGAGAAAACATGGGCTGATAGAATAGGTGCAAGATAATTATTCGGGATCTAATTCTAAATAATTCACTACTAATATTCAAGTGAGTCTCTCGAATTCACTTAATTATCAGTACAATTGTTTAGTAGAAACTCCTCTCTTGATTAAGTCTCAACCTCACAATATGAACCAATTTAAGCTCGGTGAAGATATGCAAGAATTCGTAATGGATTGGTCTTTAGGAGAACCTCGTTCGATTATCCTCCTAACTAGGTTTAATCAAGGATTCAACTAGCCTCTTTCGATTATATAGAAGAATCTATGAACTTAATCAATAATATAGTGCAAATACATCACAAGTTATGCCTCTCTCGATTACAAGAACAAGTGAACATGGATGCAACAATTAAATCTTCCAGAAACGATTCAAATACATAAAATTAGAGTTATAATCCACAAACAACCATCAATACACCAAATCCATCAAAACCCAAAAGGTTCTACTCCATAGACATGGAGAAGCTCTTCACAATTGAAACAAAAATATAGGAAAACACAAATACAATCCAAACCCGGATCTTGAGTAAGAAAGGAAGGATGAAATCCTTGTGCTCTTGCTTCTCCCTCTTCTCTTTAGCTTCCTTAGGTCTAAGTTATGTCAAAAGTCCATAAATGGTATTTTTCCCGTGTAATTAACTATCCCCCAAATAAACCCCGATGAAAATACCCTTTTTAGCGGAATTGGGAACATACTCTAACATTTTTGCACTACCGCGCCGCACCATGTGACACGTTTGTGGCAATTTCCAAAACGATTTGCAATATAGATTCTAGGCATATTTTGCACAGTCGCGCCGTCCCATGCGGCGCTGCTGTGTAGTTTTCTTCGAGTAGGTTCGTTTCTCCTATTTTTGACATCCGGACTTGGTACTCAACCCCCAAACGCGATCCCGATTTAATCCCTTGGGCTTCTACTCAGACTTCAAAGCTCCAAATAGCTCGAATTTGCTCCGTAACATATAAATAACTCGGAATAACTCCTACACGGTATAAAACACACAATAAGTGTAAAATACTACTAAGTAAAGTGCAGTAAATTAGAGTGCAATAAGCGACTAAGATACGGAATTATAGCCTACCATCACTCCTCAAGGTTAAGGACCAGCTCCTCAAGTTGATGATTGTACGTCTTTGCAAGACAGTAACTTTATCTCAAAGTTACCCAGCCCGAGTTTGTTGGAAGAAGACTGCTAAACATGATAAGGGTTGTTGCCCAAGAAGATACGCATGCATAGGAGAGAGACAAGAGTCCCAAGACTTGTGGAGTCTTTGGAACAGTAGGAGTCCTATAAAACAAGAAGTTGACTACGCAAAAGACTCCTAGAAGATCTCGGAGTCCAAGAAATTTAAATACTATCTTTCTGGACTGCTAGGATTATCCTTTTGTACATCAACTGAAGAACTATATTTTTCTACACTCAAGTCGAGTACCGGTGTTGTGTTCGTCTTGAGTCAGTCTAGTAAATGTATTTTAGGAAATCGAGTTGTAATCAAAGTGTCATAAACAATTAGTGAGTTGGAGTGAGTGTTTATTTTACAAGTTAGAGTAACTTGTAAATCAAATAGTTGTAGTAGGAGTACTAGAGAGTATTGAGTTACAGATTTCTAATCGATACATTTGGATCATTGTTCTAGTGAAGTTGAAGTTGAAAATCCTACGTAGTAGGTCGTGGTTTTTGCACCTTTTGATCCGAATGATTTTCCACGAAAAAATTATTGTGTTTACTTTGCTACTTATTTTTACTTTACGCTTAAGGAGTAAGGTAAAGAACCAAGTTCTTTAGTAATCCATAATCAGTTACCATCCGTAAAATAAAAAAATTACCCCTAGCTCTTTTAGTAGAGTTGCTTTCAAACGTACTAAGGTCCCCGCATTGCAGACTCTTATATTTGCTTCAACAAAGTTGTCTTCATGTTGTCACGACTCAGAAAAAAATAGTTAAACAAGTACTTTTTGATACTTCCTGTTGGATTCTATCAACCTTGAAATACTTGGAACCTGAGAACTAATTAGACATGCAAAGCATATTTACCAACATGTTCTGTGGCAGCAAATTTTGATTAAAGCTGCAATGTGGAATAGCCGGTCCGACTTTGATAGATGTGATCACTTCTCTAAAAAGATCTCATGAAAGACAAAGATGAATTCGTTTACTTCTATGGAATTACCATTTTGACAAAGTAATCGCCCAAAGATTCGTATTTTGAAGCAATATTGAGTTAATTATTTTGGGTATTTGAGCAACAACCTATTTTTGCTTAAAAAAGAAGATAACCACAGTAATGACTGATCGTTTGTTGGGTCTTAATGGCTGAAGATCTAATTATTCAATAGAACAAATAGCACATGGAAATGCAAGCTAAACACCAAGTTTTTGTTGCCGTTAACTTGTTGATGCCTGTTAATTATATTGCTCAACAACATTGAAGACATTAATCCCCTCGTTACCTTCTTTGTTAACAAGAAGTTTTCATATCCTATTATAGGTGACAATCTGTTCGAAGAAACTAGTGGGGATCTCAAAGGAAGTGTCCCTTGTTGATTAGGGGAAAAAAAGAAAAAAGACCAAAAAGAGGGGAAAGGACTCGCAAGGCAAAATGGGTCGAATTTCCCCCACCACCCCCACCCTTTTATGTAGGCGTTTGGACATAAGAATAGTAAAATTCGAAAAAATGGTGAAAAAAATTTTCAACTGAAAATGGTATATGAAATTTAGAGTTGTGTTTGGACATAAATTTCAGTTTGTGTTGTTTTTGAAGTTTTGTGAGTGAAAATTTTGAAAAACAGCTTTTTGCAGTTTTTCAAATTTTCGAAAATTTTCAAAATGCATTTTCAAGTGAAAATTGGAAATTTTATTAAAACGCTGATTTCGAAAAAAAGTAAATTCTTTTCGGAAAAATCTTCAACCAAATTTTATGTCCAAACGGGCCCTATATTTGACTCAATTGAAATTCAAGAACGGCGAATTGGACCACAAAAAGAGGAAAAACTGGAAAGTAGCGAGTATTGACATTACAACGATTTGCGATGGTAAGATTGACTAAAAATATTAATATTTCGGGACATTGTGTTAAGTGTTTACTGTGAAAATATGGCTAATCTTTAGAAAGAGTCGCATTTAGAATAAGTAGTAGTAATTTGACAAGTAATACGCCTAACTTCAGTATTTAGTATTTACTAGTGATTGGGAACGTGCGTTGCACGTTGTACCCTTGTCTATTATTATATGAAGCCTATATGTATATATACACAAAATAATTCTCTTTTGAATTTTTGTTATTTTAGAATTTGTGAGATGACTTAATATTTTTAATTTACTTAATTCATCTTATTTTCCATTGATCGCTTGAAGAATGCGTGTTGCATATGCATAAACATGTTAAAACTTTCTTTGAGAAAGGAGGGGAAAAAAGACAAATGAAATGAAGATAAGATGAAGAAGTCTGAGGTTAAGATAAGTGATTTTGGTAAATTTAACATCTCGAAGTAAAAATGGTAAACTAAAATGTTTTAATTTTTTGTTGCTTGTTTTTATCACTTATTGAAGATTAAATTTATTTGATCAATTAAAAATATTACTTTTAAATCAATAATAGGTAACATCTGCTATAATTTGCAAGAGAGATCCTATATGTGGTGAGGAGCTAAAAATTCTGATAAGGAGATTCTGAAATCACACATACATTATAACTGTACAAAAAGTTTTGTCTCTTATGGATGGGGTGGATGGGNCCTTCTTTTGATAGGGAAAATATTTTCCTCCAATTGGAGGAAAATGAGTTCATAATGAAAATGTTTTCCAAAACATGCCAACCAAACATGGAAAAATTGGAAAATCCTTCGTACCAAACACACCCTTAGTATAAAAAATAATAATATAATATAATATGATAGATAATAATAGTTACACCTAGTAGCCATTAATTAATAAACTTTGTCAAGATAGAGCAATTGACTCAAATTCTCTTCCTTTCCTTCACAGTTCCTTTGGAATCTTGTTAAGAACTTAGACGTGATTTTTTTAATTGCTTTATGCCTTACCTTGAAATAGTTCACTAGCCCAGCCAAAAGCGTCGTCCTATTTTTCAAATGCGTTACTTTTATGGTATATATATGTATGTAAAAAGTGAAGAACATGTGTATCACTATTCCTTCTAGTGTTTTGTGGGTTCTCTGGAAGGAAAGAAACAAAGATTTTTCGAAGGAGAACTGAATCTTTGTATAATCTGAAATATATAGGTGTTTATAACAACTAGCTATGTGGTGCAATCTCAAGAATGTTTAAGAAGTACATACTCTAATTGACGTCATATCCTCACTACAGCTCATCTGGCACAAATTTTGTAATCTCCCACCAATATCTTAATGCTGGTTTCTGCTCATTAATACAAATTCTTCTGTTACTGATTTTAAAAAGGTTAATGTGATAACAGAATCATACTATTACAAAAGAAGATTCAAAATTAGCAAAATCAACTAGAATTTACAGGCCAGTCTCCTAGGAAGCAGCAGCTACTGCTTCTGTTGTTTTCTCCTTCTCTTTGACTGCTTTCTTCCAGTTTTCTGCACTATCAATGATTTCCCCAGTTTTTATGAGGTAGCGGACCCTTTTTCCATTGTCTAGTGTTTTATGACCCACCCGACTGGCTACCTTCTGCTCTTTCGAGTAAAGCATCACGTTTGAGCTGTGAATAGGAGCTTCAATCTGAAAATGTTAACACAAAAATTTACTTTCTTGGTAGGTCAAGGGTTTATCCAATCCTAGTCAAGACCAAACGAAAAGCTCAAGAACACAGTTTTCAGGCAAGTTAGAGAAGAGAGGAATCAAAATAAAACCTTGACTATCTGGCCTGGTTCATCCTCACTCCTACTCTTCACATGCTTGGTTTTCAAGTTCACATCTTTTACTACTACTTTGCTGTTGTGCTTGATGATCTCGGTGATCTCCCCAATCTTACCTTTATCATGACCGGATATTACCTTTACTGTATCTCCCAACTTAACATGCATTTTGTGTAGTACTGGAAGGCTGTTTGGCTTACACTCTTTCCGCTCCCATCGCTTAAGCTGCAAAATAGACATCAAAAAGATTGTTCTTATTCAATGATAAAACAAATTCTAATCACAGATACTGGTATGTTAACTACAAGAATATCATACTCCCCTTGCAAGTGATATGTCAGTTTCCTAACAAGTACTAACAATTAGGCCCAGAGATCAGCGTAGAAAACGTGGCAATTGTTAAAAACTGTTAACGATTTAATTTAAGCACTTCCTTCATGCAGTCATAGGTTCAAAAAGAAGTGCATGACCACATAACAATGACCCTATAAAAGTAGTTGCAACAACCATATTCTCAGAGACACATTTTAAAGGACCAGAAAATGGCATCAAAATACCAACCTTTGCTTGAATCAGACATGGACCTTCTGTTGATGTAACCTGCATAGGATCATAAGTAGATTTTCATTGACGTGGCTAAAGATTATTCAATTCTTCAGTTCAATGCACCAAAAATCGACAAACTATGTAAGCATAGGATTGGGTAAACAATTGCAGTGAAGAGTGTTAATCGAATAACAGCAAGTGCATTTTCTGAAGAGCTAGTGATTTGTATAGGCACTATGCAATAAATTCACCAGATCCCTCATGGTAAACATGTTTGAAATATATCTACGATAGAACAATTTATATCAAAGGGGAATATATAATTGGTACAGAGGGAGTAAGTTTTAGTTAATCAATTAGCATATGTTTAATGCACTGGACTTTTCAACATATTGAGGAATCATTGCAGGTAAATATAGATGTCTTTACATATTAAATTAGTCACTTGCAGCTAGATACTCCTCTAAACGTACTGACAATAAATAGATCAAAACTTGGAACAGAGAAAACTTGTTACTAATTAAGCCCAAAGACACTCTTAACATGGTGTGATATAGTCCGATGTAGGCCAATTAATTTTCACCAAAAAAAAGCCTCGCACCATTGATAGTATCACTACACTGGTTTTTTGTTTTTTCTTATAAACTTCCAATGTGAATTTTGTTAGCAAGCTAACGCATATGATATGTCAATATGAGCAAGGATTCAGCTAGCAATGGTGGCCTAGGGGAGCAATTAAACAACGGGCTGTAATCAAAGGATATAAAATTCATTTCTAATCAATACTGCAATTGAGATGGGATCCCCTGTTCCCATAATTCCTTATCCAAACATAGAAATCCATTATTCAAGAAGAAACCTTTTCATTTATGAATTAAATTAGGAGAATTGACACAGAGAAAAAGGAAAATTCTATTTTCAAGTGGAAGTTATGAGAAAGCATACCAGAGGAGGGGAGAGAGGAGGAGAGAAGCGCTGGCCGAAGAAAGAGGTGGAGGAGATTGAAAGACTAGTGAAGGAGCTCTGCAGAGCTGCCATTGCAATGCGTGCTTCAAATCCTCTTTGGAAGTAAGAAAGAACACACAGGAGAGTTTAGAGGATAGGATAATAAACAAGGAAAGCAACACCTTCTTCTTCTTTCTCACTCAGTGATTGGACCTTGGACCGGTCGAGTCCGGCCCAATTGAAAAAGTACCTTTATCTTGGGACAAAGCAGATAAAAATGAATTGATTCAATATATATCAATGATTCTTTCTAACAATATATATTAGATTGAAAAGGATGTAATGAGTTCCTAAGTAGATAGTTCATCAATGCCTTGAGGAGCTCTCGTGGTTATTTGTCTTGTATTATTATTATATTTAATTTCTTTGCATATGTATTAGCATTAGTAATCATAGTTACTAGTATATATTTTTGTGTTGGTAAGAGATGGTAGGTATACAATCAAGGTACTTGACTTGGAAACCATTACTATAAGGGAAAAAAAACTAAATAGCAGAATTTTTTGACTTTCTATTTTTGCAAGAGATCTAGCTATAAGCTAGTATAGTTCTCAGTTACTACCTTCTTTTCTTCTAAAAAAGCATAAATACTAATGTTTACATACTTTTCGAATCACAATTGCACTTAAATTCCGACAACTTCTTGCCCTTCTACCGTGACGAATCGTATTAGGGCTATTTAAAATAAATAAAAACAAATCTAAATTGCCTTCAATATCCATAGTAGTAGTTGAACTCATCGTTGTGCTCATTGAGGTAATCCTAGCTCGCGAAAGATCAATTATTTTTAAGAGCCGAAGCAACTGTTAGTAATACCGGAACAACAGATGCCAATGACATTGGTTCTTTACTGCTAATTCCAGCAAAGTCATACGGAAATCCTACAAATCAAGTACACAAAAACAAAAACAAAAAAGGTACTTTTGGCTGTTAAAGATTATATGAACTTTCATAGAATTGACAAAAGGCTGATCTGGGCTTTTCACCCTTTCCTTCTGCCATTCGTTTACCTTCCACGCAAATTTACAAAAATTTAACAAAATTGGAAAGAAAGAAAGGCTATCTTACACGCAGACTATAACAGATCCTAAGTACCCCAATCGAACGCACCAAGACAGAAGTGTGTTATGAATGGAGAACCTAACAACCTGACCAATTTTACAAGAAGAAAAGAAGAGGAAGAAATTAAAAAAAAAAATAAACAAATGGAAGAACTGAGTTAAACTTCACATGAGTCAGCTGTGCTGTCCATAGATTCCCCTCGTCGGTGTCCAGAGTTTGGACTCCGATAATCTGGTTGTTCAGCATTGATGGTAACCTCCTCTGCTGTTGCAGATGAAGAACGCTTGTGACGCTTTCTGTCGTGTCTAGATTTAAGTATCCTTGACAGAACCTGCACAATGTCCCTCATGGAAGGCCGTTTCTTGGGGGCACGATTCACACATTTGTATGCAAGTGCAGCTACATCATTAAGCTCTTGCAAATCATACTTCCCATCAAGACGGGGTTTTTTTTTTTTTTTTTTTTGTGCTTGTGTGCGTTGGGGGGGGTTGAAGTTGCTCGACAGTAGGTGCTCACGTCCCTAAAGCTAGTAGTGACATTTTGAGGAGATCTAATCCGTGCAACAGTGATAAGCTAACCGCAGACATGGACTACAGGATGCAGGAACCTCGAAGACTCAGACCCCCAGTATCTTTTTTGCTGGGGTCTGATTGATTTATGAAACTGCTATTGCATTCTTTTACTATTTTCTCTTATTTTTAGAAAATATGCCCGGTGAAATTTTATTCTCACTTCCTTCATAACTCACCACCAGATTATCACCAATTGTGTAACAAGGTCCTTGCAAGCTTGTCCACAAAAAACTTGTGCACTCAGAAACAAAAGTAAGTAAACATAGAGTATATCCAATGTGAAAAATGGTAATCGCAACTGAATTATGCGGCACAAGAGAGCAAAGAGAGTAATATCTACTAGAAGCAAAATTCTTTTGCAAGTAGATACTATACAGTACATTATCCAAAGTGAAAAACGGACTTATTTGAATCAATGTTGAGTGAAAATAAGCATATGATGAAGTCATCCAAGTACAACCAGGGGAAGACATAAGAGCAAGCAAAAATATTACAACAAAAAAAGTAAGAAGGGAAACTAAAAGAAAAAGAGAGAAGGCATAAGCAATCTCATAAAGCTGTATATGCTCAAGAAATCATGGGCCCTTAGTTCTCACCATATCATTGTCAAAAGATAATAATAATAAAGAAGACAAGAATTTCACATCTCATAATGAGAGAGAGAGAGAGAGAGAGAGAGAGAGAGAGAGAGAGATCTTACTAGTTCAACATACTCGATGAGCCCCTGAAGAGGATTTCTACCAGCAATAAGTTCAAACAGTAAGACCCCAAAGCTGTAAACATCGCTTTTCTTAGTGAATGACCTAGTTGATATATATTCAGGATCAAGATATCCGAATGTTCCACGGATGTTGGATACATGTTTACTGATCATTTCTTCCCTTGAAAGCCCAAAATCAGCAACCTATGTATTAAACCCAATGATTAGCATTAGCCTGAAATGGACTTTACAGTATGACCACCTCAAAATCTGCCATTTCATTATCATTAAAACCAAGGAAATCTATGCCATTTACTTTACTTTTGGAGAGAAATAAGAAATATATTTAGCAACTGCATACCCTAGCTCTCATTGACTGATCCAACAAAATATTGGATGATTTAATATCCCGGTGTACAACTGGAGGAACTGCCTGAAAAAGGAAATAAAAGAGATTAAAGAGTTGAATAAATGAGCAATATATGGTAGCAGGAGAATTGCCACTAGGACACGCATGATTCAGAAATTGAGATCCCCAAAAATGTACTTTGTATGTGAATGGCAATTTGTGCTTATTTCAAGGATCCGTGGTACCGAAGAGAGATTGGTCGTTAATCATGTGTCAGCATTAAATGCAAATTGTGGGAGAAGATTACCCCGTCATGAAGATACTCTAAGCCCCTAGCCACATCAAGAGCAATTTGAACTCTCAAATCCCAGTGCAAGGGTTCAAGCTTTTCATCTGTCAAAGTAGTTCCTTTGTTAAAAGACTAACATATTATCATGCATGTGAGAGGTTATCCTGGAAGCAAATATCTGGTGACTTTACAGCATTTTAGATTGCTATGAAAATTTTGATTGCATGAGTACATGATATGCTAGTCAAAAGACAAATGACAGTATAACGTGAATCTCACAGAACATAATGGAGAGTTTCCAATTTGAGGTGGTGGGATATGGTCATATAAACAACCCCTAGTATTCAGTGTATGTGCAACCAGAAGTGTCATGAACCAGCAGCACTAAACTAGGCCTTACGTAGCCTTGCTATAAACTGATTAAATAGTTTGCGCTGAACGCATATAGATGGAGGACATCAGGAATATGAGAAAATATTGTTCAGAGCGGAGCTCAATTCTAGACTGCTAGAATATACAGTGGGTAAGCACGAGACTGACTACACCCAAAACTTAGCTATTGCTAACTGCTGAAGACTAATCTAGTTTACACCCATATAATTATAGTTCAATTTACTGCAAACTAACTTCTCGCGCTTTCGGTGATTTGAGAGAGATCTGATAATATGCACAGTTAATTATTGCCTTAATCTAACGATGACCGATATATGCTATTCAATGCACATAATTGAGGTGAAAAATGCACATCCAGGCATGTAATATTTGGTAATCCCAGCATCATCCAATCAGAGAATGTTTTCAACTTGTAGAATGTTGCAGGAAAAGGCATTGTTCAAGACTGCCTCTCAAAGAATTCTTTCTCTTTCCACTAAATCATCAGACAGAGTTCTCCATAGCATACCGTACAAGTGAGAAGCCAAACTGCCTCTGCTCATGTAAACGTAGATAAGCATATGCTGACCCTTCTCTGCACAATATCCAACCAAATTCACCAGGTTTCTATGATGTAGCCTTCCCAGTAACATGACCTGTGGAAATAAAAGAAGCTGGAAGTCAATTTAGTTTTAAAAAATTTACAATATAAAATGTAGTTCAGCAATTACAGCATAACACATATGGTTTAGCACAAAATATGAATAAAAAAATTAGGCTTAGAGGATATCTAGAACCTATGTTGCTCGGACTCTCCAAAAGTATTGTCTGGTGCGTGCCGGAACCTCCAAAAGTAGTGTATTTTTGGAGGATCTGACATGGGTGTGGCATCATTTTGGAGAGCCGCGCAACATAGTCTAGAACCCTACTGGATGAAAAGTTTTGTTGACCTAAAAATACTAGAATTTGCCTAAATTTTTTGGTGTGCTGTGGCATTTAGAGAAAACGTTGTACACATTAGGAGGGTACAGCAATTTCCTGACCCATCTTGCTTAGGATCAGTTGCAAGCACTTCACCAACTACTGAATCAAAATATGAGTAGAGTTAAAAGTAAATATCCCCTTCTCTTTTTGTTTGTAAACTGGATGTTTGTTAAAGATAACTAGGGCTTGTAACACTAGCATGTTCTCTAGGTGATATCTCATGATTTAAGGTAAACATTAATCTACAAGAACAAAAAGTAAGTAAACTTATTTAGCATTTTTCACGACTGCACCATATTTTATCAACTGGTTGTTTAGTGAACTGGCTTTTCCATATATTAATGCAGTCAACATGGTTGTTTCACAGTTCCAAAGGTTGTCAAAATTTAAGACAAAATGTTTGAGCAAGGTGACTTGTCAAACAAATGTCAAACCACCATGAAAAGTATGCTTCTGTGATGTTTAGAGTACCTCTGTTTGGAATTCTTTCTCTCCTTGTTTAGAATCAGTTGCGAGCACTTTGACAGCAACTGTCTCACCAGTAGACATCTGAGCCTTATAAACAGGACCATAGGCCCCTTGACCAATCAATGTGGTGAAGTTGTAGGTTGCTCTCTGCAAATCCCTGCCCATTAAGAAAGAGTACGTTAACTAAATGTTTAAGCATCTCTCAGAATAAAAACTTCAATTAAATGTAAAGGATCATAGAAGATACATATATATGGTTTAAAAGCTGCTCATTGATTTCTAGTTCTTCTGAGGCATTCTGATGTTGGAAAACACATTTCTAGAAATGGTAAAACTAAAATATGCATATACAAAGGTTTAACATTCAAACAAATCCTTAATCGCAAATATTGATCGTATCAAAACAAATCCATTACCCAGTAGGCAATAATATTCATTTTCAAAGTCTTTGATTTCTGGGTAACATCTCCAATTGCTGCTTAACCACTACATCGACACCAAAACCATTCAAAAGAGGCTTCATCAAGCATGCAAACCACAGGGGAAAGTTTACAAGATAGAGTGCTGGGAAAGAAGTGAGACACTCGTTAGCATATGTGCAATGGTATTTTTACCATTCCAAAAAAAAAAGAATGGACGGGCCGAAGGTCTATTGGAAACAACCTCTCTACACATAAGGTAGGGGTAAGGTCTGTATACACCCCATCCTCCCCAGACCCAACTTGTAGGATCACACTGCGGATGTTGTTATAAAAAAAGAATGGGTGAAGGCACCCAAGGGTATGGCCTAGTGGTCAATGAAGTGGGTGAGAACCATGAGGTCCCAGGTTCAAATCCCAGCGGAGGCAAATACTAGGTGATTTCTTCCCATCTATCCAAGCCTTGGTGGATAGAGTTACCTGGTACATGTTGCTGGTGGGAGGTGGCAGGTATCCCGTGGAATTAGTCGATGTGCGCGCAAGTTGGCCCGGACACCACGGTTATCAAAAAAAAA